CTAATATTATTGCACTAGTTATCATGAAATTGAAATATAATATTAATAATGTAATATTAATGTAATCATAAAATAGTAATTTAATTATGAAATTTATTTATTTTGTTTTATTCTTATTGTGTTCAATATAAAATTACTTTTTAACTCTTTTTTGAAATTTTATTTTTACATCAATTAAATTTATATTTCTTTAATAAGTATTATTATAATTTACTCACAAAAAATGAATTATGTCTTAAAAACAGGCACTCCTGCTATATTGCATAAATATAAGTGTGAGAATTCTTATAAGAATTTAAACTTATCACATTGTGCGCAATATTTTAATGATATTTATTTCTTATTTTCTTTCAATTTCTGATAAAAACCATATGGAATATCTGTATATATATCTATTAAATATATCTCATGGTAAATTGGGATAATTTAGTACATTATATATTTAACACTTAGTAGAATATATTTATATATAGGATATTTATTTAACAAAAATTTTTCAAAATTTTTCATAATGTATAATATATTACAAATTTAAATTTCCATGAATAAATGTATCGATATTTTTTAAAATTTATAAAAATTTTACATTTATAATTTTTTCATAAATATACATGTATTTATGATATAAAAACTGTAAATTCTAAGAAATTTTATATGTTAAATAATTGTTAGCATTTCGGATTATTATTTTTTGTGTTCATTTTTGTTGTAATATATCAATCTACAATCTTCTCATTATTAATATAATTTTTTTGTTTGTAATTTTTTAAAATAACATCCTATATAACATTTCAATTTAACATAATTTATGGAATAAATTGAATCAAGTAGAATGAGTAAAGTTAAAAAACATATGTTCTTTTTTGTAATAATATGGATGAAAATCATTAAACATATTGTTAAATTTATAGGAAAATATCATATCAGAATTATCTTTATGATAAAGTGTGTTTGATCCTATAAAAGACTTTTTGCAATATTCTTTCATTTTCACAAAGGTAAATATATAGAACTGTTTTTTACAGTCTTATACATGTTTATCTTGAAAAATAAAAATTATATATTCATCAATTGTGGTGCAGTAATTATAATAAATCATGAGTATGTTCATTTTATTCGAATACTCAATTAGATAAAACCTCAAAAAATTAGAAATAAAATAGTAATCTCTTAAGTAATATAATAATTTTTTCTATTATAGTGAATACGTTAATTTAGAACACTAATAAAAGAACAACTTATATACAATATAATATTTTTTTATCAAATTATATGAGAAAAAAATTAAGTTATATATAGTATCATATACCATTAATATAATTCAAAAAATAGATTATGTATTATCTAGTTTATATAAAATTATGAAATATAACACACAGAACTGAAAATAAAAATAAATAAGGGCTAATAAATAATTTACTGTATATATATTTAAATAGGTAATTCACTATTTTTTTTAACATATAACAACATATTATTAATTATTATAACTATCTCATTTGTGTTAATAATATACTTCATAATATTATGATTTCATATTGGTCTTATTTATTTAAATGCTATTTTGCTTTTAGATATTCTACGATAATTTATATTCCCTACATGTTCTTGTATATTATTGTTCTTATTCTTCTTTTTTTGTTGAAAATATTTTCATTAATTTATGGATACACAAAATTTTTTTTATTAATCTTATTACACAATAATAATAGTAATTAGGCTATAAAATTTTATTACAAGTTAATTAATAATCTGTTGCAGATTTTTCTATAATATTTATTCATGTTTGTGAATTCCTTTTGGTAGTCATTATAAATTTTTATTCATAAATATTCAAATATCATAATATAGCCGAAGTCATGTAATATTATATTTTATGATACATTTAGAGAATTTAAACAAAATAAAAAATCTCCATAATATTTATTATATATAATACTTATTATTTTAATATATAACAATATATATATGTTATATATATTAATATAAGTTATTAAAATTTCTTTATTAAATATACGTAACCATTTTTTAATTAAATATTACTCTATCTAATAATAATTTACAAAGAAAATATTTTTAAAAATGTAGAGGAAGCATAAGAAGTGCAAGAACTAAGATTATATTTTTTTTTTACATTGCTAAATGCCATTTTTAACAATGGAGCGTGCTTTTGTCGCAGAGAGGCTAAGTGAACATCAATTTTTCAGTTTTCTTTATTATTTGTTATTAGATCATGCCATTATATATTGTGTTCTTCCATATAATACATTATTTTAATTACATAAAAAAAGGATATACATTAATTTCTTGAAAACTTCACTATATATATGAAGCTTTATAGTTATTATCTAAAGGTTAAATAGTGTTATTTTTTATGTCTTCCATTGATATTGTTATTATTAAATTCATATATATTTTTACTAAAATTATCAACATTTAATATATTCTCATTAGAAACAATAAAATAAATATATTCACATACAAGATATATTACTATCTCATAATGTTGCTACATATTACAATAATAGGAGAAGTTTTCATAATTTATGTAAACAAGGATTGCTATTTAATTACCTCTTCTTAAATTACCCAACATTATTATTTAAATATATAGGATAAATTACCTTTAGTTTATAAATTTATTAAAGAATGAATTCTGTAATTAATTCCCATTCCTAACTTATGTAACATAGCCCATATCGTAAATTATAGAATTTTTACATTTTATGTATTATTTTAATTTATTTTTATATACTTTCAAATCATAGTAATGTTCATCTTATTATATTATTCAACATAAATATATTTATAACATAAAGTGTTTTATCATTATTTTTTAAGAGTGAGTTTTTGCGGAAAGAAATGTTTTAATAGCATTATGGCTCATTTACTTTTTATAATATAAAAACACACTTGTACATAAAAAAAATTATATAATGTATAGTTAAAAATAAATCATAATATAATATTATGCTTATAATTATATATTTTACTTTTTAATTGTTAAATTTAATCTATTAATTTTCCGAATATATACCTAAATATTAATCGAAAGCTAAATGAGAATCTAAATTCATGATAGTAGATTAAATATATATTTATTAATGTAACAAAATACTTTAATATAAATTAAAATAGAGTGAAGATACATGTATTTTAAAATCAATAGAAAAATTTTATTTTCTTATTAATCATTAAAATACGAAATAATGTTTATGCAAATGTTCATAAATCAAGAAATTACCAAAATTTATAATTCATTCTTATAGTAAAAACATCAAAAACAATAATTATATACTCTTGAAATGTAAATGTGTATATATTTGATTTATATTATTTTAATTATAAAATATTGAATATTAATTATTCGTTACAATCGTGTTGATTCTAAATACGATAAGCTTCCCTCAGTATAATAAGTTAAAAAATATAATAAAATACTATATAAATTAATGTATATTCTACCTTCTATTAAGTTCATTATTAATAGAATTATAGTGATATATTTTATTTTCTACATTGATTTATATTATTTGTTAATACAACTTCTTTATATATTATAATGCGTACGTTACCTAACTTGTTAATATTAGATAATTAGTAGCTTCAATACATTAATAATTTAATATAAAAAAATATCATTTATAATGAATCTAATTACTTCAACAAAGCCACATAAATAAAAAAAAATTACCTATTAGTTCAAGTAATATATCACAATAAATGTGTATAATACTGTAAAAACAAGTAAACAGAAAATTAGGTTAATGTTCATGAAACTTAAGAATAACTGACATAAATTATAATTATTATTTAAATATAAACCTATTATATAATCATAAAATTAAGCATATTCTTTTTCATACATATTATTTTTTCAGAAAAAATAAGAATATTATTTTTTTTCATGAAATATTTCTAGCGATTACATAAGAAATTATATTTTTTTATCTATGTACATTATTTCAAAAATTAGAAGCTCATTAAAATATGCTATATGCAATCACATTGGTAAATAATATTTTAAATGAAAAATTATATAATATTTAATTATCGGTGAATACATAATTATTATACTTTTACTTTATTCAATAAATATATTACATACATAATAATATTTATTTTTATACATAAAATCTCTTAAAAATTGTGCTCTAATAAAAAAAATTTTTACTTATTGAGTGTTAATTAAAATTTTAACACTATGCATAAATTCATTTATAGAATTCTATCTTTACTATAACTTATAATTTTATTTTATTTCGAACTCATATCTAATATCTTTTAAAATATATTAAATCGACAAAATATAAAAAATTAATATGCATAAAAAAACAAAATGTGTGAATGCAGAATATTGAACAGAAAATATTAAATGATAATGTAAATTTTTTTATTAAAAATATATAGAAAATAAAATCTAATTAATATGAGTTCATTAAAAATATTCAAATAATATTATTATGTAATAAAAGTACTTATGCAACAAGATATAATTAACAGAGTATACCGCACCCTATTTTTAATAGGAGAATATAAGATATCAAAAGAAATGCAAATACACAAAAATGATATATCTTATCTATGTTAAATATAGAAAGTAAAATATTTTATTTTAGTTTTATATATATTTTCTAATAATAAAAAAAATAAACTTTACATATTCTTTTGAAGTTGAACATTATATATTCATATATTGTAATATATTATGGTAAAACAATTATTTATATAATACTTTATTTATTATATCTATTGTTCAAATTGTGAAACATCTACTTAAAATGATCATTTATGTTATTTATGTAATTATATTATAAACTTATATTTCAAAAAAATACTTAAATTTTTATTAGAATATTTTAGAAATAAAATGCTTATAGTATTAGACAAGTATATTACATGTTAGCATTAAACACAGGAAGCTCTAAATACTTTCATATATACTTAATATTATAATAATTATATAATTTCTTACATTTCACACATTATCAGTTAAAAAAATGGATCATACATGTGTAAATGCAAGTGTATTTTGAAATTTACACTGATTAATTAAAAAATAATTATATATGATTAAATATTACACGCTCACTTAAATAAGAAAAAAAAAAATAATAAAAAAGTGCATATACATGGATATTTAAATATTTTTTTTCTACATTTTACTTTTAAGGACTTTAGCATAAATAAACTGCCTTCAAAGAAATTTTATATTAGTTTGAATGATGGATCTATTAAATTACCTAGGACTTTTGAATTCTGCGGAAATGGAGTATATTCCTTCAGAAATAATTCAAGAATTAAACTTCTTTGTTCAAAATTTATAAAATATTTAAAGAAGCAAGATAATATATCAAAGGATTCATATGTCAAAGATAATATTTGCGATCTTTTAAATTTCTGGTTGTATGAAAAGTTAGCAGCCATTTTCATGGAGAAACATCAAGAACGTAACAATATTTACCTTCAAATTATGGCTAATATGAATGCGGTATATGCCTGGTCGAGTTCACCCATTCCCCAGAATTGTATTATTGATACTAAGATTGTTAGTTACAATGATTGGGGGAAGAGAAAGCAATTGTATGATTATTATGTCGATCACAATTATCTCAGAACTATGAATAACAACAGCGAAAAAAGTTGTAAGGAATTATGTGATTATGTAAAAGGTATACAATCATTATATAATTATTTTAGTGAAAAGGATCGAGAGACAGTTAACAATGATTTCCCAGAATTTTATAGCAAATATATTCAATATGATCCCAAAACTACATTAACTCATCTAAAATGCGAAGAAGTAAAAAATATAAAGGATGATGCTACGAATGTTATACATCCTGAAAAACATACCATATATACAGATCATGAACAAAGAAAATATTCAGCTGATGAAGAAGGAACATATTCTTCAAATAAAGAAGGAATATATTTAGAAGATGAAGAAATAATATATTCAGTAGATGAAGAAGGAATATTAAAATCTAGAATAGTGCACTCTGATATGTCAACAAGTGAACTCATAACTTCTGATGTGTTACATTACAAAGATAGCAGATTTAGCCTAGTTAAAATATTTAGCACTATAGTCCTTGTAGCTGTTGTAATTTTTGTGACTTTTGTCGTTTTATATAAAGTATATGCAATTTTCATTAATATTCATGAATTACATAATCATATTGATATATAGACTACATAGCCATACGTTATAAATCAATGTGCTACATATGATTCATATAATTATCATTTACACAAGTTATCACCCATAGGAAGGAAATTTCGTAATATAAATGACACAAAAATAAACATGATATGTAATAGAAAGGCGAAGAAAAATAAAATATATAATCATAAATTACATTATGATAACTCATTTCCTGATTATCTCAGATGGAGTTATATAGGTTATAATCCTGTGTAATTTCATTTAATTAAAATTATTTAGTAATTGAAGTTCCACTAAATGAATACTTGGTGTGTAGAAATATAAGAATAGAAAGTATTTGTGTTTTTTTGTATATGAAACAATAAAGGAAAGAAAATTTTAATATTTTTTCCCATGAATTGGAAGAATACATATAAAAACATGTATAAAATAAAGTAAATGAATAAATACTAATTTAAATCAAATTAATATTGTTAAATATTAATTTTATTACATATGAATATTTCAGATGCTTTTTTTAACGTCATTAAAATCTATATCATGCATTATAAAAAATTAATATGAAATAAATTTTTTTTGAAAATTATTTTTTTATTTATTCATATATATAATTGAATAAATTAATTTCATAGAATAAATGTGAAATAAAATATGATCATTGCATTATTATATAAAATGATATTATTGCATATAAATTGAAAGATTTATAAATCAATTAATTTAAATTAAAATATTTAAATGCATACAATAGAAAAAGACAAAATATTTTATGTAACTGTATATATTTTTATTTATTCATTTTTTGTCCATTAATATTCCTCTAATTTATATTAGTACCCTACGTAGAATTATATATATATGTTTCTTTAGTATAATAAAATATTATATGGGCTATATATATATATATATTAATCGAATGCTTGTATATGTAAGTTAATACCAGAAGCATTTGTCTTAAAAAATATGATAAAAATAATTTTTCTTCAAGATGAGTGCCTGAAGGATAAAGGAACATTTACGATAAGATATATCTAATAGTATTATATTTTCAGTTATTATATATTTATAAGAAAATACACAATTACATAACTTTGTGGATTATCCAATGAGCATTCTTATTTTATAGTGAAATATACAATATGTCTTCTTTAAAAAATTATCTATTAGTGTTTATTTATTACTAGTATACTCTCAAGCTATATAGTATGCTATATAATATGGAAAAATATGAATTCTTAATTGTATCTGTATTTACACACTTCTGATAAAATATATAGTTGAACATCTTTTAGAAAAATGATTCAATGAGATAATAAAGTATATTCTAGTAGAAGTAATCCCTGGTTTTATTAAAAATATAAACACTGTATAAGTTAATATGTTAATGGATAATTTTAGAACATGTTAAAAAGGAAAAATAAATAATTATTGAATCCTGAAATTCTTTAATGCGTTTATACATTACAGGACTCTAAATTACATATTAAATACAATTATACAAGTTCTTATATGGAACACATTAATTATGAACATCGGATAATTATTGGATAATGTAGCATTACATCATTATACAAACATACGAATATTAATTATTCAGGCAGTTTTACCATTATAAAAATAATAGTAAACTTGTACATCTGAGCATGCATGATTTTGTTAAGGATGAATCTTACATAATTTATATAAGGAATATATATTTAAATAAAATTGATGTTAATAAAAATATCTATTATGAATTATCTATGACATAACAGCATAACTTGTGCCACAGAACAACAGAGCATAATATTTTAAATTTGACAATAAATGATCAATTGTTTTCAAGATTATTAAGAATCCGAAAAAATAATGAAACAAAATATAAGAACACACATACAGGGTAATACGATGAAATAATCCAGTTTATTTCCAGATGAATGAATATCTTAAGAAGTACATGATGATTTTTATGGGTAACGAATTTTTATTTTAACATAAAATTATCTATGTAAAGTATAATCATAATATCATATATATAGGAACATCCACACTAGATCATTCCCTTATGATTAACTTATTATGTAATATAAAACAAAACTACAATGTATTTGTATAATAATGTGTTTCATAATATATTTTTCAAGATGTTAATATAATTTATACTGTATTATTATAAATTGTAATATAGTGTTTATAAAAAATGATTACTATTTTGTGAACCTTTTTAATTAAACAACATGGAAGATTATAAGGATTAACAGAATTTTTCTATGTATCCATGTGTTTTGACATTAATCAATGAACATTTACAAGTGTAGGTAAAAACATATTCCGATACATGGAAATTATTTATAATATAAGTCTGTAACCTCGTGATGAAAATTTAGATTGCTCAGAAATTATTACTTAAATAAAATTACTGATATAATCATATTACGAAATATCAATTCATAAAAATCTCACATGAATCTAAACATTCTTTTGAAGAATATAATGCAGCTAAAATACTTTAAAAATATATATGTGTAAAGAGATCATAATAAAAGACCTCGAAAATATTTCATTTTTCCAGATGTCAAAAAAATGTAATTAGAGGTTATGATATAATTTTGCAAACATAAATGTAATATATGCTGTACACAATTGTATCATCATATCTAATTAAATAAATCATAGAATATACGTATAATATTACACTCATATTTTTATTATATACTTTATTTAGATATATGAAAAATAATTCGTGCTTTTCTATATATATAACTCATGAATGAAATACATGTTATAATATGAAATTATATGATTAAATAAAATTTATTTCAATTACAATATATATTAATAAAATAAATTCCTTAATATCTATAGTTCTATATGTCTGTTAATTTATTATACTGTAATTTTAATTATGAATGAGATATAAAAAGAAAAATATGTTTCTCTTTATAATTATATTATTATATTTTTAAATAGTTCGATGATAAATTAAAAAAATACATGCAATCAAGAAAATCATTAAATCTACTTTTTCGTCCACATGTATATAACTTCAATAATATAACATATAAGATTATTTTAAATAAAAAAGAAAAAATTTTACATTTTATAAAGATGAATATTTAATTGACAATATTTAGTAGGAAAACTTATTACAAGAAAATTTATCATAATGTTTTCCTAATTCATTAGATAGTTTTATGTTTATTATATATATCTATACATATATTAGGATTATTATTTTTATATATTTTTTTTTCATATAACACTTCTATTTTGATAAATGAAATTGTGAACCAAATGACATATCTAATAATAGTTGTATAAATATATGCACAAGATTTAATGTTTATGTATAACGTTGAAAAAATATTCCATTTATGTACATTCTTGATTTTTAAATTTTATTCAGCAATTATAAAAATATGTAAGATTCAAACAGTATAAATAATATATTTGTAACAAACAAGTTATTATATGTTTTATAAAATCAGAAGATAATATTACAAAAATGAATATAATTGTGAAGAAAATTGACTTTATAGTTGAAACTAACTTTCTATTGTGCGCATAATTATTTGTATTGCATAGAATTATTTATTATATGTTATAACTGCTACATGAAAAGTTTATAATTATTAATTAGTATAAAATATTTACAATTGTACTCTAAATTTTTTTTAATGATTAACCTCACTGCATATTTATTGTTTTTATATATATCATTGATTATATTATTAATTTAAAAATTTTTTTATTCGCTATGATAAATTATATTTTACACTAAATTACCAAGATTTACTATGTGATCTACTATATAGATATATAAATTATGTCTTTTATGTATTTAACAATAAAATTAAGCAAAATAAGTAATAATTTATATTAAAAAACATTAGTTACATTGTATACATATGAATCAATAGAAAAAATTTACAAAAATATAACTATATCCTTAAAAAAATAAACAATATTAATTAATCAAGCTGATTTATTTTATGTTATAAATTCCAATATAGTGAAATGTTAATTCAGAATTTATATATAAGTAACAATGTAGGAAATGTATTAAGAAATAATTATATTATAAATAAAAGGACATGAAAAAAAATTTAATAGATGTAATTATTGCGTTAGATAAATTGTCTATTATATGAATTCGATTATAATTTTACTAAAAATATTTATTAATATTTGTATTCATAGATTATAAAATAATCTTAATTATGGAATGATCTAGTTATAGATAAATTTTAATATATTTCTTACTTCTTCATTTCGTTAAGATATTTATATTACCACAATAATTGGGTTCAATATTTATCAAAAAAAAATAATCGATTATCAATAAATAAATATTAGATATGAAGAAATATACATATATAAAAATTTATTCAATTAAGAAATAATGCGTTATATACTTATAATAAAACAAATTATAATAAGCAAATTACTTGTATCCATAAATATAAATTTTTAAGAAAAATAATATTTTGATTTCAATGAAATACTGATTTAATATAATGTTAATACTTTAATAAGTTACATTCATATAAGTAACAAAATTAAAAATTGTTACCACCCAAATATATTAATATATAAAATCATGAATAATAATAACTTATCTTCGCATGTATTCTCATTATAAAAACATTATTAATACAATAACCAATGTTAAGTGTATTATACTATAAAAAATCCATTTTGTAAGCATAATTTGTATAGAGTTTTTATGATTAATATATATAACATTATATAATAGGAACTTAAATGTGCTAAAAAATATTTGTTTTAATATGTATGTCAAATGTGGAACAATGTAATATTATATAGTATAGATGATTCAATATTTATTGTTATATATGAAATAGAGCTAGTTTTTTTATATATTTTTTTTTATATAAAATATTATTAGATTAACTATTTATAGTACTAAATGTATATGTTTTTATGTTAGTCTAACAGAATATATCAGATATTAGTAGAGTTATCTTTATATTGCAATTAATTACAATATCACAGTATAAAATGTATAATTATATTTTACATAATTTTTTATCATAATGGGTTATCAATGATATATATAGAGATGTTACCAGAAGTTAGCAATAAATTATGAACACAATCACGCATTACATATAATGTAAAAATAATTTTTTTAAAAATTATTTCTATATCTATATGTAAGGATGAAAATAGAAAAAATTCGATATTTTTGGAAGATGACATCATATAACTAAATGGTAATATTTCATATTCTGTGTATTTGCAATACATTTTAT